TCCTGACCTGCATGTAGCATAAGGTTGGAAACATGTCACACACACACACACACACAGTTATCTTCCTTCTTTATGTCACACACACATGGTCTTGGATGCACCTTTCATTCTCTCTCTCTCTCTCACACACACACAGCTGCTCCCTCTCTCTCTCTCTCTCTCTCTCTCTCTGAGGGCCTGAGGACAGGATATTAACACACACACACACTCAGGAAAATCTCTGTATCCTCACACACACGCGCACACGCGTATTCAACAGTAACCCGCAGTCGTGTTAGAAAAGCACAGCCATGATCATGACGACCCTGATCCTCCTCTGGTGGCTGGTGCTGTCCAAGGTGCTAGTTAACATTCCAGTGGTGATCGCACGCGCGCTGATGAATAACGCTCCATTTATCAAGGCGAACCCCGCCGCCTGCCTAACACCCCCCACCCCCCACCACCCCTCTTCCACACTCACACACACGCACACACACACCTCTTCAGTATTTTCATATAAGAACTGATAAAAGCAGCGCAACGTTCGTATTAAACGAGGAACAAAAAGTGCAGGAGGATGCGGGGGGGGGGGGGGGGGGGGGGGGGGGGGGGGGTTGCTTGTGAGGCAGAATGTCCTGTCTAACTCTCTATCGACAATGAAGCTGACTACAGCAAAACACACACATTCATTTATCACACACACACACGCACAGAGAGAGAAATGCAAAGAGCTCAGTCTGCATCCCTCGCTGCAGTACAGCACATATAGAGAATAGGGAACACCGTACCCCGACAGGGTGAGAGGGGTAAAATCCCGCGGCTCATGGTCCCCCCCACCCCCCCGCTCCGCAGAATTCGCCTCGTTGCTTTCTTTCCGCCGCTGCGGCTCCTCCGACGTGCCCGGGATGGGAGATGGGGGAGATATTCCTGTAAGCCGGTGCCGCTTGGTGCTGGCAGTAGCGCGTCTCCTGGGTGGAAATAACCCAAATAAGAAAGAAAGGGACGAAAAAATATAAAAAAGGACAAACCTGGAGGGGGGAGGAAACGATTAGAAAATCTGTCTAGAAACTGAAGTGTTTCTCCTTTGAACGCAGGGCCCAGGACGTTTAAACCATCAATCTCCCTCTCTCTCTCTCCTTCCCTTTTCTTTCTCCTCCCCCATCTCCCTCTCACTGCCTCTCTTTCTTTCTCTCTATTTTCTCCTCCTAGATGCGATTGGACACTGTGGCAGGCAGCAGCTACTGATCCAATGATACGCACCTAGCTCTGCGAGGAGAGAAAGAGAACGAAAAGAGGGGGGGGGGGGGGACACACAGGGGGTGGGGGGGGGACATACTACTGAAGATCATCAGTGCACGGACATGCATGGCTTCACGCACCTGTAGATGATGCATGGGTGTCGGAAAATGACAGTAATTCACCTGCAAACACACACGGGCGCACACACGCACATGCAACTGGGAGTGCACAGTGACCTCTTCAGGACCAGAACAGGAGAAGCTGTCCCCATTCTACTCAGCCATGGCTGCAAGCAGCTTTCTCCCCATAGGCTCAGTGCGTGCGTGCGCGTGCGTGTGTGTATGTGTATGGTAATGCAGTTGGTCCGCAGTCGCTATACTAACTGTGTTTGGGAACACTCCTCACGTCAGCACGCCCTGCTGCAGCAGCATTCAGGACTTTTCCATTCCTGTCCTCAACAGTCTTCCATCCAGCCATCCATTTATTTGTGTCCCTGTCTGCTCCTGCACTTGTTTGCTTATTCTTCCTGCACAGCTCCTCCCCTCCGGCCCCTCCACTTCTCTTTCTTGAACCTGTATCCAATAAAGTGAGGAGAGGGGGGTAAGAAAGAAACACAGCCAATACAAGTCCATTTGTGCAGATGGGTTTTGAGAGGTGATTTAGAAGGATGACATTGACTTATGGTCTAAGCTCTACAAAGTCATCGGGTGTGTGACAGTGAAAGCCCCGCCGCTCGCTCTTTTTAAGGCAAGGCTGCCAAAAATGAAGCCCTCCATTAGGATCCGAAGCCGTGTTCCGGTTTGTTTCAGCTGGAAAGGTCAAAGTTGTAGCTAGAGGTCAGGGATGTGCAAACCAAAAAAGTTACAGATTAAAAAAAAAATTGAGGCAAATATTTAAGCTGCGGCGCACAAAGACGCGCTCAGGCAGTCGGCTCTTTGCATTCGTGTTTAAAGTTTAAATAATTGAGAATAGATAAATTAAATAAAACGTATTCGCCGCCCAACACATTAGAGGTGTGCGTGCATCTAATGATGAGTTTCACTGAAATCTGAGATTTATTTTGTTGTCAACAGACAAATAGAAGAGCAAAAACATTATTACCTGTTTGCCTTGGAGGCCAGCAGTAATAATAAGAAAGAAATGTGAAGGTTTAGCCATTTTTCAATGAAACAATGTCACAATAAATATAATAACACTGTTAGCATTTGTATTTTCCTAATCTGCAGCAGGACAGTCAGTCATTTAGACTCAGTGAAATTCATGCATCTGAAGAAAAATAAAACTGCTCTGGTGGCACGAGTGCTAAATGTAGGTGGTTCCTGAGTGTGCCATCTTTTCACTCCTCATCCTCTGCATCACGCTGTAGCTGTGTGACTGCCAGCATCTGAGATCACTACACAAACAGACTCTGGATCAGCCTGAACTCAGAGTTTGTATCCGTATCTTGGACCGGTGATTTGCGACTCTTGTCCTTGTAGTTCATTTCACTCGCCGTCTTCCTATTGATTGTCACATTTTTGTTCTGTTGACTGCTTTCGTATATTTAAGAAATGGCTTGAAGTGATTCATATTGAACTTTTCTAGACTTAACTTCCAGACTCTCTGATTTGCAGACAACCGCTCTTCCTGCTGAAGCACTGACACAACTTGAAAATGTAGTAAATACAGATTTAAAGGCCTAACAAAGAAATAAACTGATGCAAGTCTTACTCGGACAACCTTTTTCTTCTTCTTCATCTTTTGGCTGCTCTCGTCCTCAGGTGTCTCCATACAGAACTAACTCAAATGAAGACTTGGCAATTGTTTTTGTGGGGAGTTGAACCAGCAACCTTCCGCTCACAGACTCACCTCCTCTAACCTCTGCACCACCACTCCCCCCTTTACACTCAGACAAGCATGATCCACCTATTTACAAAATGCAAAGATTTTTCTGTGAGACCTTTTGAAGCAGGCTTTTTTACTTCCTGCCTGTCGTGATGGTGGGTGATGATGTCTGCGTATGTGTGTGCATGTGTGTTTGTATATTAGCAAAATGTTTCGTGAACCGTTAAACAAAGTTTAATGAAACTCTCATACAGCAAACGTTGGATGTGTATTTATAACTCATTAACTTTTGGAGTCAGCTTGATTTACCGCCACAGGTAAATAGCATTAGCAAACAAAAATGGCTATAACTAAAGAGCTGTTCCAATCTGCTCTGAGCGTTAATAAATCACATGAGATATCTGTTTAAAATGTTTGCATGAAAGGTGCCAGGTGATATGCATTTCGTCAAGAAATAATAGTTTGTACATTTCATAAAATCACCAAGTTTGGACTTTCCTACCTCAATTATTGTTGCCACAACTATTTTTTTTGTTTGTTTTTAGTACTCAGTACTATTGTGATCCATTTTTCTTCCATACATTTTTCAGCATCTTTCTTGTTCCATAATTTTTGTGCTATTTCAACAGATCATATATCAAAACATTCAGCTCTTTCAGGAGAAGGGTACAATGACATTTGGTATTGGTGCAACTTTAGCTTTTTGAAATATTTAGCCTTTTCTGCTAATTTTTTCTCATAGAAAATGAATTGAGCTCATTTTACATCCTTCAACTCTTTAGATCTGTTTACAACCATTTACTGTTCCTTCCACATTTTGTTCCAGTTCAGCTTCTTTCAGCTTCTTTGTGCAAATTTAAACTTTTTCAGCTACTTTTAGCAAATTTTAGCTGTTTTGTGATCCTTTTAGATTCTTTCTGCTAACTACAACATATTTGTGCTTCTTCTAACTTCTTTCTGCTAATTTCAGTTTATTGTGCTCCTTTCAGCTTATTTCTGCGTTTCAGCTTTTTCTGCTATTTCAGCTACTATTTAGCTGTTTTTATTCTAACTTCAGCTTTTTCGGTTAATTCCACATTTTTTGCACTCATTTCAACCTTTTCAGCCTAATTCAGCAAAACAGTTTTCTCTCCACTGCCTTCTGGTAATTTAAGTTTTTTTTTCTGCTTTTTATGTTATACTTTCAGCTGTTTTATGCTAATTTAAACTTTTTTCAGATAATATCCACTTAACTTTGCTCATTTCTGCTTCTTTGTCTAATTGGACAAATATTTTCTTTCTTAATTTTAACTTTTTATGCTCCTTTCCACTTATTCATGCTAGTTTAAGTAATTTCAGCTACTATTTAGCTGTTTCAGCTGTTTTAGCAGTTAAATTTCAGCTGTTTTCAGAAAAAAAATTGATTTGGTAATTTCTTTCAGCCTAAATAACTTTATTCTGCTAA